TGCTTTTTTTTTCACTTACAAATTTCAGGCCACTTAGTAAAGCTATTCACTACCACAAGATGACCTGTTTATTGGACCTGCAAAATTTATGTGCAGTTTTGACCACGGAATACCTGTCTTTGGCCATACTGTAATTTCGTACTATGTGATTTTGCTGTCAGACTCCCTGCATGCTTTTAATAATATTTCAATGTCTTCATCCACTTTGGTCCAGTATATATAAGAGATTTTATCTTTGAAATTCCTGGATGTTCACAATGAAATTCATTTAAAACCGCTTTTGTAATATGATAGGTGTTACTACTGTTTGGACAAACATCAGTACTCCTTAACATAGCGAGTAAGGGTTCAAATCTCGATTGCGTTCTAAAAACAGTCTATCATACTTCATTTTATTCGTTTTTTTATATTTTCGAAATAAACATGACTTGTTCTGTTTTTACTTTTATTTCTTCCAGGGTAGTTCATTGACTACATTGAATAATATATTTTAAATTTTAGTTTCACTTTTAATGCTGCAATAACAGTGTCCTCAAACATTTCAGTATTTTTTGGGATAAATCTTGATAAACCTTCAGCATATCCTAATTTTTGGATGGTTGGTATCACATCCTGAAATAGTAAATTAATAAGATGTTACCCCAGTGTTGTAATCGATTAGCTGTATTCGTAGGAATTACTTTTTTGAAAAGATGAATTGAAAATAAATGACGGTGGTTCGTCTGTAAACAAAAATTCTTCCGTGTTTAAATTTGTGAAATTTTTTCGCTGCAAATATTATTGCTAACGCCTCTTTTTCGACCTGGCTGTAGTTTCTTTCTGCCATTAGTAGCAAATTCGAAGTATATCCGACATCTTTCATGTTACAGTCATCTTATTTATGTAGAATTACTGATCCTATTTTATAATCACTGCATTTTGATCGTAGTGTTAATGATAAGTCTTACGTTAGTATTTTCTTGATTTTCTTCAAACGCCTTCTGACACTTATCAGTCCAGTTCCACTTTACGCCTTTTTTTAAAAGCAAATTGTACAGTGGAGCTCTCAAATACTGCATATTGGCTATATGGATTTGATAATAGTTTGCTAGGCCTAGAAATGCTTGTAACCTTGGAACGTTTGTTGGAGGGGGCATATTCTTAATTGTACTTGTCCTCGGCGGATCTGGTTGACGGCCATTTTTGTCACTGGTGTGTCGTAGGTACTTGATTTTAAGCAAAAACAATTCGCATTTTCCTCAATAAGCTTGAAACCGTATTATTTTAAAAAGAAAACACTCTTGTCAAATGCCCGATATGTTGACCTTAGATGCTCTTTTAATTAATATATCATCAAAATAAGGCACAATAAGCAACTGCGAAATCACAATCTGCAAATATTGTATCCATAGCTTGTTAAAATCCGTTGTGCACATTTATAGTTATTAACTCTGAACATTCTGCTTCAACCTGTATATGTAAATAAACTTCAGAAAGAGCCAGCTTCGAGACATTTTCCCACCGTATAAATTCGCAAAATTTCCTTTGGACTTGATAATGGGTAGTTATGAGATTCTAAACATTTGTTTAACCCTGTCGTAAAAATCAGCAAAGACAAATTTTTTTTCTTTACATAAACTGCTGGTGCTGCACATTTTGAATGGTCAATCTTTTCGTTTACAACTATTTGTCTGTCTAATTCTTCTTTGATGAATTCAAGTGCCCTACGAGGCTGGCATCCCGCTTTCACCCTTTCACTGTTGAAACTATTAAATGTAGCCGTCTCTTCTACTCCAATAGCTTCATATCTCGCACCTCTCGCCTGTGGAACTCTCTTCCCTATTCCTGTTTCCCTGAGAGCTATAATCTCCAATTATTCAAATGTAATGTCAATCGACATCTCCAGTTGCCTTGATCTATCCACTACCCTTCTCCTCACCCTTTCCGCTATCACTCCTATCTGATCTTGCTCCAAATGTTCTGTAACCCCTTGCGTACTAGTGGCTTCCCGCCTTGCTTGGGGTCAAACGCTTAAAAAATTGTCCAGGGCTTCGAACAGTACACTACGTTTCGGTTTTAAACACTGGCGTCCATCGTCTTTGACTTGAAATTTCCTTTTGACTTTGGAACACCGACTCAACAGAATATTCGGAAAATATTTTTTTTAATTCTTCCTTTTAATTTTCAAACTGTTCCTTTAAAAACTAGTAGCTTGTGAACTTACGTTTTCGCATTAAGTATTTATAGGTAAATCCCACAGCTCAAATAATTCCATCCCGTCAGTACTGAATAAGTTTGTAGTATTTTTAATACATGAGCTTTAGCTTTTACACACTTGGTATTAACTGAAACGTTACAAGTCATTTCACCAATAAAAATAATTTTCTTACCCGTCACGCCACATGCTATTTTCAAAGTTTTTTTGAATATCGGTTTTCCGTTTGCTTTCCATCTGGCTTCGTTTTTTATTGTGATATAACTGCCAGTGTCTATATTTATATACATTTTATTCATTTTCACATATACAAATTTTCTTTCGGTTTCTGTAATTATTTTTCTGTCGCAACGCTGTGTACGAAGTTTTTTTTTTCAGAACCCTGCCTTACTTTAGTTTTACTGGATGACTTTTTATGTCCAATATTTCCACACTTGTAGCACTTTAAATGATTAAAGGGACAGTCGTCTCTGAGAGGTAACCTATGTCTGAAACATGGATTAATTTTTTTCACACATTTTTCCTTAGCCCGTAAGTATGCGCATTTCTTTTCTTCAATTTATTCCGTATCGCATCTCAGATTAAGGATTTCCTGACATTCGTTTGATATTTCTTGCAGTGTTAGTTTTTGATTCTGTTTTAGATTCGTTAGAATTCTAAGAGTTATTTCTGCGTTTTGGGGTGTTTTTTTCGCCGTTAATCCCTGAACAAAAATAAACCATTTAAACATATCCGAAGTCAGTTCGTTTAATTTGAATCTTTCACACTCCTTGTTATGGATTCCAGTATATGCGACAAAATCTTCGACCCATTTTTTTCGTAAGATTCATACACTTTCAAAGAGTATTGTATAACGAACTTTTCTCGTTAAAAATTTTAGTCAGAGTATTTGTTGTTTCTTCAAAGCAAATTTCTCCTGTTTTTTTTTTTGAGGTAGCACAAAATGAGAGTATTTTTAATGTTCTACCGGTGTTATGTTTCTCAACAAAAGTCTGTTTTTTCTCGTTTTCCTAATCGCTGAATTCTTCTCTAAAAATTTGCTCGTATCTTCTAAAATAAGCAGAAAAAGAAATTTCATCATCTGAATTGTATGTGAATTCAGCTATGGCATTTGCAACAGTATTGGAAGAGAAAGAACTTGTAGAATGTTCTGTTTTCTTCCCTATTATAGCAATTAAATTTCGTTTTGGTTTCTGGGGTTCTACTAACTGCTGTTGTTGCCACTACTCTATTTTTACCACTTGGGTTAATAGTCCGTCCATATTTAAAATATATCTGCTTTTCTTCTCTTTTCTCTTGTTCTTTCTATTTTGCTCGTACCAAAGGAAAAAAAAAACAATGTACTTCTAATTTCTTGTCATCTCTGTTATTATATGCGTCGAAACATAAAGTATGTTTCCTACTTCGTATGAGTTCGATTCCTCGTCGCTACTGTTAGAACTCATTCCTCACAGTTATATTATATCCCGCTTAGGCTACTCGACGTGACGACATCAGTACTTTCTCCAACGGACTGGTATTTACCCGTCGCTCCACAGTGGACTAGAGGTGACACAAGATCAAGTTTACTGTTGCGTTTCCAATCCAGACACTGATCAAAATTTACCCACCCCCGACCAAACCAGGCTCGGGTAAAGTACTGGTCTGCTTTTCTCAGCCAAGTATCTATCCGAAGGAGACCGTCTGACTCATCCTACGCCCGAAGACAGAGGTCTTGTCTTGTCTTTTCGCGAGCCTTGGACAGACCAGCATTTACCGGTCGCTCCACTGCGGACTAGATGCGACACAACATCGTTTACCGTGGAGAATCCGAGTGTTTCCACACGGGCCAATGGTCAAAATTTACTGAGACCCCGCGAAAGCGGGCTTGGGTACAGAAATGGTCTGTTTTTCTCAGCCGAGTCACTATCCGAAGGCACAGCCCGACTGAGTCATCCTCTGCTCGAAGACGGAGGTCTTGTCACCCTCTGCCCGAAGACAGAGGTCTTGTCTTGAGCCTCGGACAGACTGCGAATGACTCACTTTGAATTCTTTATTGAAGGCGTCTTGCCTAGTTCATTTGTGTTACCGCGGATGCTTTATGTACTCCACAACAACTCAAGAAGTGACGTTTCTGACAAACTGATCCTGATGAGATTCGAACGCAGATCGGAAAGCGAATCTTCTAATCACTCGGCCACAATCATGCGCAACCGGTATAAACAAGTGGGCTTGTTGAAGTAATTACAGCCTTCACATCAATTCTAGACATCGATTTTTGAACCTGAGTGAAATCCTGGGTTCTTAATACAACTTTCCTTGGTTGTAAACATGTATTTCTTTTTTGACATTAATTGAACGGCGTTATCCTTCAAAGTGGATTCATCCGGATTATCTCTGAACCTTGACATAAGTTCTTCCCTTGAGAGTGAAAAATTATTTTGCCTCTTCTTGTCAATTAAGTGATTATAAGTTCACATTATTAGAGCCAGATTTATAGACGCAGAGGAATCCCGTGGGGTTAGACACTTTTTGAATCTTGCTCTTTTTCGGAGTAGTGAATAATAGTAGAGATATTTCTGTCGATTTTGAAGGAGTTTCCACATCAGGGCAATGAATCATGTAAATCCCGAGTCATCCAAATTAAGACTACATTTAATATTACATCGTATTTGACAGCGGTAATGAAAATGCGAAATATTTGAAACGGAAACAGTTTTTCAGCACGGAAAAAAGTAATTTGCCGGAATGCAGGGCAAAGTGGATTCATGTCATTCATAATGGCATTGATAAAAAGCGAAAATAAAATACCTAATGCTGAAATGGCTTACAGCCATATCACGTCGAAACACTGGTTCTCGTATGATCACCAATGTTAAACAACGTCGATCCAGGTCAGTACATAGATGGGTGACAGCCCAGGAATACCAGTTGTTGTAAGCTTGGATCTGCAAGTGGTGTAATGGATAAGAGATCGGAAAGAGAAGACGGAATGCCGAGTTCGAATTCCATTTGGGTTCATTACATTCACTTACGCGCAAATACCTTTGGGAAAGGTATGAATCCACCTCCTCTCTCACCATCTATGGGTTAAAATAATAAGATTTGTACCCCAAAATCATTATAATGTCTAATAGATTGTTAATATAATATTAAAAAAAATAGTAATATTTATATTTAAAATCCCAAAATATATTTCCGCTTTAAATAATCTAAAAACGGTTGCGTGACCGGACATCTGGCCGACATTTGCTCGAACGGACATCTGGCCGACATTTGCTCGAACGGACATCTGGCCGACATTTGCTCGAACGGACATTTGGCCGACGGATATTTCACCAAAAAAGTACAAGTAAAAATAGTAACAAGCAATACTTAAATGATTTTAATTAGCAGTATTATAAGGTAGAATGGAACAAATAATTACCACTGAATTTCAAGTGATTAAATTACTAAATCTAAATTTAAAGTTAAAAGTTTTATTATTTCTATATTTTTTTTATTGAAATTATCATTTTAAAAAATATTTAAGTGTATTTAGATAAAAAGTAGCAGCTAATTATTTAAATTCGTATTTAACAGTTCCTCCCTTTAAGGTAATGATCATTAAAAGCGAAACTGAAAGATCTTTCATATCGTAAAAGCTTAAGATTTTTGCTGTAGAAAAATGCGCTTTTTCTTAAAATACTTATTATCTTACATCAATATTTGAAGTAAAATATAATATATACAGAATAGATTTAAAAAAAAGCCTGTCAAAATAACGAAAAATTATAAATTAATACAGTAAATAAATATAAATATACAGAGCAACCTCGATTCTCGAACGCCTCACATGTTGAACAATTCGGTTTTCGAACAGAAAATTCGAATTGAAAATGCCTGGGTTATTGAAAAATATTTCGGTTCTCGAACAACATTGACAAACCGAGTTAACCAACTCCAACGGAATAATTTCTGAGGCGACTGCCGTTTTGTATACATTCGTGTGTCGTGGCGTACTTTTCTTTTCTAATTTTATTGTACTGTGACTTTTTTTTTCTCTACATTGATTCCTATTGGAAAAATAGTTTCGGTTTACGAACAATTCGGTTTACGAACAGACTTCACGAACGATTTAGATTCGTGAAGCGAGGTTCCACTGTATGTGGCACACTACGATAAAGAGTGTGACATACATGTAAGTACGCCACTACATTTTCGGCTAAATGTCCATTCGGTCAAATATCCGAGTACCAAACAGTTGATAAACCGTAAAAAACAAATCAATTATGCTGAAATGGAAGGCTGCTCCTCCGTTTTGTTTTTTCTGCTTATCTATGATAGATGTAAATTAATGTGTTGTACTAGTCTCATGCTTCCCACCACAGCCAAAGTTCGAATATAAAAGCACAGATTCTGATAATCAATTTTATAACATTTATAAGCATCTTGATATTATAAAGGTGATAATCACGTCATAGTTGTTTTTATCTGAACGGATTTTTTCATTACGATGAATATGTCCCGGTTAATCCTTAACCAATATCTAATGTCATCCCTTGAAAATGAAAAAAAAAGTCCCTAGTTTTCGAAGCAGCGTATGTGAAGGTTCATATTAGGACCAGATTTACTAGGCGTTGCTTAGAAGTGACACAACGCCGAAAGGATAGGTCACTCAGCTAGCATCGAACTCACTACTCAGTCCTAATTGATCTAACGAGACAAATTTGCGAAGCTTACACCACATCGAAGTGCACCTCGTAATTCACTAAGCGAAGCTTAGTTGTAGCACAAAACCGAAAGAAACGCCTAGTGAGGATCGAACTCACTACTCAGTCGTTATTTATCTAGCGAGAAAATACACTGATATATTTTGAACGCCATTGTATGCCTTCAACTGCAGATAAAATGTACTGTTGGTAATTCTACAATAAATAGTTATTGTTGGTAATTTAAAAAAAAATGTATTGCTGGTATTTTTACTATGAAATATATTGCTGGTATTTTTACTATTTAATAGGTATTGTTGGTAATTTTTTCTAAAAATGTATTGATGGTAATTTTACTATTTTTTTGTTGTTGTTTTGTTTGAGAGTTCACTATTTGCCCATAGTTTGAACCCTAACATTTGCTAGCACTTCGGTTCAAGGTGTACTTGGGAAAAGACTAATTAGATAGCGGTTCTACGACCTCGATCAGAGACCTTGCTGACGGATGCAGTTTATCGTCATACCCAGGTTGATTACACCACGTCGAAATGTCCTAGGGCCTGTTTGAAAGAGAGAATCTGTGATTTGAAACCCGGATTTCCAAGTCTTTCAGAGTACGGAATCATCGCTTGTTAAAGAATGTAAATATCTCGGCAGCGTAACCTTGTAAATATCCACACACTTGTAGCCGGGGCGGAGTAAAATTAAGACAGCAATTGTAATTCAGTAGTAAATGACACGAATTATGTGCGAGTGGCGTTACGGTTACCGATTCAGAAAGTGGAATCGGAAGGCTGGGCTAAAATTCCGACTGAGCTTGTTGCAGTCCCTTCACCTTATAACCCTCGGTTAAGCAATGCATCTATCATTTCCTTCAACCCCAAATCATCATGCTTGATGCTCAACTCTACAAGAGCGTCTCTCTGAGCCTTCCTGGTCACACGTTTTCCATTGATCTGAGATGAAACAGCTACATTGAATCAATAGCTTCGTTTACCTCAAGTAAAGTTGGTTCTCTGCGTCACACCAGAAGGATTTTTCTCTTCTTAGTCCTTCAAATCCACAAATCTACCATTCGTCTTTGTTAGACATTTTCATGACGGTCGTCCTCGAGTATAGAATCTAGAGGTTGGCAGTGAATATTTCGGAGACAGTAGGAAAGCGTAGTGGAGGTTCGCAGTGGATATCACAGCAGAGTGTAGTTCATCCTTCTCCTGGTCGACTTTGGTCCTTCCGGTAGAGGAAACAAGATGGCCGCCTTTATACACGACGAATACAGTGTTGGGCGGCTTCTGATTGGTCAACCTTCTATTGGTCGACTATAAAGGGAAATAAGTCATTCTGACTCGCTCACTAGTTTTAGGTAGTATATACCCAAAAAACCGTAACAGTCTTTGCATTGAATACTATTGCCATATATGGTGTGATACCCCCGCTGTTCATCTCGAGGTTCCCCACAAAAATCCAAAGAGGGATATGCAATATGATAGGTCCTGACCTTACATCTCGACTACAGTCACTTTCTCACAGACAGGATTTGGCATCTCTCTGTCTTTTCATGGCAAATGCTCTGATGGGCTACTTTCACTTGTACCCAGACTGCATGAATTAAAGCTTGCTAATAGTTTGACATCTCGGTTCTACCCTTTCATCGTCGAAACAGTTAAATGTAACCGCCTCTTGTACTCAAACGGCTTCAAATACTTCTTGACAGTGGAATTCCCTTCTTACTTGCTTGCTTCCCTGATAGCTCTAATCTCCAAATATTCAAATGTAATGTCAATCGACATCTTCAGATGCCTTGACCTTGATCCCCGTCCTTCTCTTTATCCTTTCCTCAAACACCCATACTATTATTCTCTGTAACCCCTTGCGTGCTAGTGGCACTCCCACCTTGCTTGGGGTGAAATACTTGAAAAAGAAATAGGAATAAAGATATTTGTAATATATTTACGAAGAATAATCGCACTGATACACAGATTACAGTTATTAAGAAAAGATGGAGAGAGCCACGATCTTATATGTCATAAAGAGACATTAGTTTTACTTCTTGAAAAAAAAAATAATAATCTAATCCAAAATAATGAATCTTGGAAAATATAGGAAAGATGTTCAAAGTTTTGTCAGTCAATAAAGCTGGGGAGCCTTCTTGAAAAAAGAAATATCCAAAAAGAAACGTTTCCGAAATGACCAGAAATAAAAAAGCATTTTTTTTTGGTGCTAGCAAGCATCGGGTGTAGGAAAAAGTAGGTTCTAACCACTTTCAAAATACTCTTAGCCTATAGCTCATATTCGACATGGGTTGAGCTCTCAACACGGTATCTATGCTGATGACACATCTATTTACCTTTGTCTTAACCCATATGTCTAATCAGTTCGATAAGGTTAAATCGGCAGCTGGATCTCAAAAATGCTATCAAATCTGCTAGTAACTGGGGAAAGGAATGGCTTGTTAATTTTAATGCCTCCAAAACGAAACTGCTTTGTATTATTCTTCTGAGTGACACCTTTTCGCCTGATGCTAACCTCCAGAAGAGTGACTCTTTGAGACTTCTGGAGCTATCGTTCTCTGTTGACATGAAATGGAAAGATTATATTGAATTATTCGCTATGTCTGCTGATAGGAAAGTTGGTTTACTATATCGTGCAAGTTTCTTAATAGAAAAATTGTTTATCTTACATATCTGTAAGACTATCATTTGCCCATTTGCCTATGTTTCAAATATTGCTGGCACATATTCCTAGTTTGGTGCACCTGATATATATTTAGAGATTTCTGATAAAATCTGAGGAAGAATCTGCAATGTTATTGGTCATGTCTTGGCACCCCGGCTTCAGTCACTTTCCTACTGCTCTAATGTCGCTTCCCTGTGCCTTTTCTATGAACACTTTCATGGAAATTGTTCTTATGAATGGAAGCGCAGTACAAGATTGACAACAAGGTCTCATAGTTTTACAGTTGAAATGGCTAGATATAAGCGTAAATTCTTTGCTAACAGTTGATTTTCTTGCACATCACCCCTAGGAAACACCATTAAGAACAGATAACAATAAAAGAACAGAAATTAAGAAGACAGAAGCTGACGATTGACGAATTGTTAAAAATAAAAACGCTCATGACGAGTTCTACAACAAAAATATCCGTAGAAATCCCCTATAACATCTTTAAATATTTTAGCTTCACATTTTTAACATAATATTGCAATAAAAATCATAAGTATGAATGGTTGTAGCTATTTAAAGAAGTCAG